AATACTCCCAAAGTTTATATGGAATCATAAAAGACTTCTATTAGCCACAACAATTTTAAAAAAGAAGAACAATGTGGGAGAGATCACAATACCAGATATCAAGTTACATTACAAGGCCATCATAATCAAAACAGCTTAGTACTGGCACAAGAAAAGACATACATATCAATGAAACAGAATGTAGAACCCAGATACTGACCCAAGACAGTATGCACAATAGACATTTGAGAAAGGAGCAAGAGCATACAATGCAGAAAATACAGTGTTCAATAAATGGTGTTGGGAAAATTGGACAGCTACACCCCCCCCCCAAAAAAAAGAGAAAAAAAGAAATTAGACCACCAACTTACACCATACAGAAGAATAAACTCAAAATGGATAAAATACTTAAATGTAACCTGTGAAATCATAAAAACCCTAGAAGAAAATATAGGCAGAAAATCTCAGACATCATATGTAGTGGAATTTTCACTGATATATCACCTATGGCAAGAAAAACAAAGGAAAAATAATAAATAGGACCATATAGAACTTAAATGCTTCTGTATGGCAAAAGAAAACAGCATCAAAATGAAGAGGGACATGTCTGACACCACTGGATAGATCTTCTGGACAAAAATTAACAAGGACATAGAGTCCTTACAAGACAAACTAGATCAGTTGGACTTCATTGATATTTACAGAACATTTCACCCCAAAGCTACAGAATGTACATTCTTCTCAAGTGCACGCGGGACATTCTCAAAGATAGGCCACATGTTAGGACACAAAGTAAGTCTCTACAAATTCAAGAAGATTGAAATCATATCAAGCATCTTCTCAGATGACAGTGGCATGAAACTAGAAATCAATTACAATAAAAACACACAGACACTTTTAAACTCTAGGAGGCTAAATAGCATGTTATTAAACAACAAATGAGTTACTAATGAGATTAAGATAGAAATTAAAACTTCCTGGAAACCAATGAAAACGAACACACAACAACACAATATCTATGGGACACAGCAAAACGGTTCTGAGAGGGAAGTTCATAACACAACAAATGAAAGATAAAAAACATATAATCATATCAATAGATGCTGAAAAAGCATTAGACAAAATCCAGCACCCATTTTTGATAAAAACACTCAGTCATGTGGAAATAGAAGAATCATATCTCTACATAATAAAGGCCTACCTCAAGAAACAAGAAAAATTTCTAATTGACTTTCTAACCCTACAACTTAAAGAACTAGAAACTAAAGAAAAAGAAAAACCCAGAGCTAGTAGGAGGAAGGAAACAGTAAAGGTCAGAGGAGAAATAAACTTCATAGAGACAAAAAAAAAAAAATTAAAAGATCAATGAAACAAAAAGCTGGTTCTTTAAAAAGATAAACAAGACTGATGGACCTTTAACCAGACTCACCAAAAAACAAAAAGAGAGAAACCAAATAAACAAGATCAGAAACAAAAAAGGAGAAGTGACACTACAGAAATACAAAGGATCATCAAAACATACTACGAACAATTATATGCCTACGAATCAGATAATCTAGGAGAAATGGACACATTTCTAGAAACACACAGCCTCCCAAAACTGAACCAAGAAGAGATAGAAAATTTGAACAGACCAACAGAACAACTAAGGAAATTGAAGGTGTAATTAAGAAACTCCCAGCAAACAAAAGCCCAGGCCCAGATGGCTTCACAGGGGAGTTTTACGGAACATTCAAAGAAGATCAAATACCCATTCTCCTCAAATTATTCCAAAAAATCCAAGAAGATGGAACACTTCCAAACTTATTTTAGGAGGCCAGCATGATCCTAATTTCAAACCTGGATAAGGACACTACAAAGAAAGAAAACTACAGGCCAATATCCCTGATGAACACAGATGCCAAAATCCTTAACAAAATATTAGCAAATCGGATCCATCAATACATCAAAAAATTATTCATCCCAACCAAGTGGGATTCATCCCAGGGATGCAAGGATGGTACAATATTTGCAAATCAATAAATGTGATACACCACATAAACAAATGAAAGATAAAAAAACATATAATCATATCAATAGATGCTGAAAAAGCATTAGACAAAATCCAGTACCCATTTTTGATAAAAACACTCAGCCATGTGGAAATAGAAGAATCATATCTCTACATAATAAAGGCCATGTATGAACAATCTATAGCCAACATCATACTCAATGGGCAAAAACTAAAAGCATTCCCCTTAAGAATGGGAACAAGACATCGATGCCCACTTTCACCACTCTTATTTAACATAGTACTGGAAATCTTAGCCACAACAATTAAACATGAAGAAAAAATAAAAGGGATCCAAATTGGAAAGGAGGAAGTGAAACTGTCATTTCTGTGGTGTCAGTTGTTATTTCCTCTCTCTCGTTTTTGATTTTGTTTATTTGTGCTCTCTCTGTTTCTTGGTGAGACTGGCTAAGTGTTCATCAATCTTGTTGATCTTTTCAAAGAATCAGCTCTGTTTCATTGATCTTTTGAATTGATTTTTTAGTCTCTGTGTCATTTATTTGCACTCTAACTTTACTGTTTGGTTTCTTCTACTTGCTTTGTGTTTTTCTTCTTGTTTACTTTCTAGTCATTTAAGTTGTAAGGTTAGATACACAATTAGAAATGTTTTTTGTTTCTTGAGGTAGGCCTGTAGTGCTATGAACTTCCTGCTCAGGTCTACTTTTGATGCATCACATAGATTTTGTGTTTTGTGTTCATTTTCATTGATTTCCAAGAAAGGTTTCATTTCTTTCTTAATTTTTTTGATGACCCATTTATTGTTTAATAACATGCTGTTTAGGCTCCATGAGTGTGAGTGTTTTTGAGTGTTTATATTGTAATAATTTCTAGTTTCATGCCATTGTAATTTTAGAAGATGTTTGATATAATTTCAATCTTCTTGAATTTGTAGAGACTTAATTTGTATCCTAACATGTGGTTTATCATTGAGAAAAATCTGGATTCAACAGTTTTGGGGTATATTTCTCTGTAGATATTTATTAAATCCATTTGAGCTGGTGCATCATTTAGAATCTTTGTTACCTTGTTAATTTTCTGTAGGATCTATCCAGTCATGTCAGTGGGATGTTGAAGTCTCTTGCTAAGATTGTATTGCTGTTGATTTATTTTTTAAAGTCCTCCAGAAAATTTTCAATATATTTTGGTCCTCTTATATTGGGTGCATATATGTTTACCAAGGTTGTATCCTCTTTGTTGATAGATCTTTTCAAAATTATGTAGTGGCCTTCTTTGTCTCTAGTTATGGCCTTCATTTTAAAGTATATTTTATTAGATATAAATATTGCTTCCCTAGTTTTTTTTTTTTCTTTCACTTTGCTTGGATAATTTTTTCTATCCATTTACTTTCAATCTTTGTGAGTCTTTTGTTGTGAGGTGGGTCTCTTGTAACCAATGTATATATGAGTCCTGTTTTCTATCCATTCAGCTTTCCTGTGTCTTTTAATTAAATATTTTAATCTGTTTACTTTAAAGTTTATTATTGATATGTTCTTATTTATTGCCATTTTTATTTATTATGGTTATGTTTCTTTCTCTATTGTGCTGACTATAGCTGTTCTTTTAATATTTGTTGCAGTGAAAGTTTGGTGTTAATATAATTCCTTAGCTTTTTTTGTTGTTGTTGTTTTTTAGTCTGGGAATCTCTGAGTCACCTTCTGTTTTGAGTGATAGTCTTGTTGGTTAGAGTAGTCTTGGATTCAGGTCCTTGTTTTTCATTACCTTGAATAGTTCATGCCATTCCCTTCTGGCCTGTCGTGTTTCTGTTGATAAATTAGCTGATATCCTTATGGGACCTCCTTTGTATGTAACCTGTTTCTTATGTTTTTTTGTATTTAGGAGTTGGTTTCGTTGTTTTTTTTTAATTTATAACTTTTGGCATTTTAATTATGATGTGTCTTGAAATGGGCCTGTTTTGGTTCTTCTCACATTGGAGTACCTCTCTGCTTCTTGAACTTCTATGCCTTTTTTCTTCACCAAGTTAGAGAAATTTTCTGTCACTATTTTTTCAAATATATTCTCTAATCATTGCCTATTTTCTTCTTCTTCTGGAACTTTTATGGTGTAAATATTGTTACATTTTATATTGCACCACAGCTCTCTTAAGCTGTCCTCCTGTCTTTTTATTGTTTTTTGTTTGTTTGTTTGTTTTTTCCTTTTTGGTTTGCTGATTGGGTGATTTTTTTCTACCCTGTCTTCTAATCCACTGATTCAATCCTCAGCTTCCTCTACACTGCTGGCTATTCCATTTATTGTGTTCTTTATTTCTGCTATGTCACTCTTCATTTCCACTTGATGGTTTTTCATTTCCAATTCGTTGATTTTGATTGTTTCTAAATCTTTACTCATGCTGTTGAGGGTCCTCATAATCATTACTCTGAACTCTATCTCTGATAGCTTGTTTAATTCTTTTTTATTTTTATTTTTATCCCTTCTTCCTTAAATTCTCTAGTTCTTTCATTTGGGATGTGTTTCTTTGTTTAACTATTTTGGCTGTCTCTGTGGGTTTTGAAGCTTGCAAAATTTTCCCTATGGGTGTTGGTGTTTCACTAACTTTGGCTCTCTCTACTGGGTTTGGATGACTGTGGGAGGGCCCACGTTAAGCACCAATGTCAGATCTTAGTTTCCTGGGTAGATTTTTAGGCCAAGCTAAGATTCAGTCATCCTGTATCTTTTGCCTGCAGGCTATTAGTCTCAGTTTCTTTATGAGCCTCAGGTTGTAGCCCTCACCTGAATAAAAAAAAATCCCTCAGGTGGACATTTCTTTTATAAGAGAACTGAAGTTCTGTTCAAATGTTCAACCAGGTGCATGTTCACTGGCTGCCTGGGCAGCACTGTCCCAGCTTTCTGACTCTATGTCTAGGTGAGCCTGGCTAGCTGGGGTGCAGGAAAGGGCAACCAGGAGGATAAAGTTTCCTGAGGTGGGTTGAAAATGCTATCAGAACAATTAAGCCTTTAAATTAAATTATTTTTATGTGTGTGCTCCCACACTAGAACTAAGCCAAAGTGAATGCTTAGCACAATCTTAAAGATGCACAGTTCTACCCTGCACCAGTGCCAGATGCCACCAGAACACTGTTAGAGGCAACTGGAGAAAAAAGAGAGGACATTCCTCTCCCAGCAGTGTAACCATCACGGCAATGCATCTGTCTGGAGGGTGACCACTGCTGGGGCCATTAAGGCTTTCAGACATGAGAATGACATGAACTGATGTATATTTTTAAAAGATCACTCTGATTTATATGTTTATTTCTTTTTTATATAATTTGATTTTTATACATTTTTAAATTTTTAATCTATTGTTCACATTCTATATTAATTTTGGTGTACTGTAAAGTGGTTAGAAATAATTTCTATAATTTATAAAGTGATCTCATTGCTAAGTACATTATAGGGTCTCTTATTTTACTATTATTTGTTTCTTCCAAACATCTCTTTTGTAGTTGTTGAAAGTATTACAGATGTCCCCCTCTTTTACCCATTGTCCTTCTTCATCTCACTCCCACCACCCTTCTGCCTTCCCTGGCCTAGTGTCCATGTCGATTGGTTGTACCTATATGCATATAAGTCCTTTATCTCTTCCCTCCCACTCACCCCCATCTCTCTGAGGTTGCCAGTCTTTTCCCTAATTCCATGATTTTGGAGCTCTTTTGGTCCACAGCTTATTTTGTTCATTATGGGTCTCTTTTAAAAGAGTTTTAAGCCTATTCATGAGGGTTCCACCCTTATGGTCTAATCACCCTGTTTCTCTGTTTGACCCCTCTTAGGGTTCCCTGTCCCTCTTGCCCTTCACACTCTATGGAGAGTCCACTGTGCCTTTTGCCCTGCCTTTTCCATGGAGGGTCTTCTGTCTCACTTGTCTGCTCCAACCACAGAAGGCTTTTAGTCACCCATGCCCTGCCTACTCCCTGGTCCCCAGTCAACCTGCCCTGCCCCTCCATGGAGGGTACTCAGTGCTTTTTTTTCTGCCCCTCAACGGAGTGTCCTGTCATGCCTTGCTCTCTCAGAGTCCTCTGTGCCTCCTCCCTTTCTTTTCTATTCAGATCCTTTGTGCCTTCTCCCCTGCCCCCTCTAGGGTGGACCACCTCTCCCACCTGCCCTACCCCACAATAAAGGGTCAACTGTTTCTCAAAACAACCCATACCATGGAGGGATTTTTGTCCCCATGCCCTACCTCCTCCTTGGATCCCCTGTCCACATGCAATGCCACGCCATGGAGGGTGCTCTGTACTATTTCTTCTGCACCCTTCATGGAGTGTCCTCTATCCCCATATTTTGCACCCTTTTTGGATCCCTGTCCCTTCAGCCTATCTATGGAAAGTCCTGTTTTAGGATCCCCTGCCTCCTACTCTGTCCTATGTACAGAGCATCACCTGTCCCTTCTACCCAGTCTCTTCCAAGGAAGGTCTTCTGTGTTCCTGGCCTGCCCTTGCCATGGAGGGTTTCTTATCCCGCATGGCTAACTTCCATTCATGAACCCTGTAGATCAGAACTGCCATTACATGGAGAGTGCTTTGGGTATCTTGTTCTGCCCTATCTATGGAGTGTCCCCTCTACCCCTGCTCGGACATCTTTAGGAACCGCGGTACTGCCTCCTCTATGGAGATTACAGTGTGCATCCTGCCTGTCTGTAGATAAGCATCTCTGCTTTTTGTTCTACTCCTCCATAAAGTGTCTTCTGTCCTCCTGTGGTGCTACCTGTTAGGATCCTCTGCACCACCTGACCTGCCCCCTCTGTGGAGGGTCACACGTCCCCCCTGCCTTACTGAAAATAATGGGTCGACCATCTCCCTAGCTTGTCCCTGTTGTGGAGGGTTTTTTGTTCCCATGTCCTGCCTTCTCCCTGGATCCCCTGCCCACTTGCCTTCTCCTCCATGGAGGGTGCTCTGTCCTTTTTGTTGTGCTTCTGCCATGGAGTGTTATCTGTTTCCATGCTTTGTCGTGTCTTAGGGTCCCCTCTCTCCCCTGCTCCATTTATGGAGTGTCCCCTGTCCCTCTTGCCCTGTTCTGTCAAAGTGGATCTTCTGTCCCACCAGTATTGCCTCCTCCATGGAGGGTCTTCTATCTCCCTGGCTTGATTCTGCCTGGGGTGATATTCTGTACCCCATGCCCTGTTTACAGCCACCTGCCCTACCCCACAGTGCAGGGTGTTCTTTCCTTTTTATTCAGCTCCCACCATAAAGTGTCCCCTGCCCTCCACCTACCCCCCCTCACGGGCCCCAGTGCCTCCTGCTCTGCCCCCTCTATGGAGGTACCATTTTACCCCCTGTCCTGCCTTTTCCATGGAGTGTCTACTGTCTCCCGGGCCTGCCCTGGCATGGAGGGTTTCTTGTCCCATGTCCGTCCTACTCCCAGCTCCCAGTCAACCTGCCCTGTCTGTCCATGGCGTGCTCTCTACATTTTTTTTTTACCTCTCCATGGAGTGTCTCCTGCTCCCCTGCTTTGCTCTCTCTTGGGGTCTTCTGTGCCTCCACCCCTGCTTCCTCTACAGAGGGTCACCTGGTCCTCCTTCACTACCTTCAATAAAGGTTTCACTGTCCCTCTTCCCTGCCCCTTTCTGGACTGTCCTGTTTCTTCTCCCTGCACCTTCCATGACGGTCCTGTTCCTCTGCCTGGCCCCCTTCTAAGAAAGGTCCTATTTCCCCACCCAGCCCCCTCCATAGACAGTCCTGTCCCTACTCTCTGCCCCCTCCATGGACTGTCCTGTGTCTTCTCCCTACCCCATCCACGGATGGTCCTGTCCCTTCTCCCTGACCTTTCCATGGACTGTCCAGTTTTCCTGCCCTGCCCCCACCATGGACTGTTTTGTCCCTCTGCCTTGTGCCCTCCACGGACTGTCCTTTCCTATCCTCCTGCCCTCTTTAGGACAGTCCTGTCTCTCTGCCAGGCCCCATCAGACTGTCCCATTTCCCGGTCCCACCCTCTCGTTGGATGGTCTTTTCCCACCACCCAGCCCCTTCCATGGACTGTCCTGTTTCCCTGCCCTGCCCCCTTCATTGACTATCCTGTTCCTTCTCCCTGGACTGCCTTCTACATGGACTGACCTGTCTCTCTGTCCTGCCCCTCCATGGACAGTCCTGTCCCTCTGCCCTGTTCCTTCCATCAACAGCCATTGTCATCTGCCCTGCCTCCTCCATGGACAGTCCTGTCCCTCATCCCTGCCCAGTTAATAGAATTTCCTGTCCCTTCTCCCTGCTCTTCCATGGATGGTTCTATCCCTCCCCCCGGCCCCTTCATGGACTGTCCTATCCCTCTTCCCGGATCCTCCATGGACGGTCCTGTCCCTCTGCCTTGCCCTCTCCATGGACTGTGCTGTCCCTCTGCCCTACCCCCTCCATGGATTGTGTTGTTCCTTCTCCCTGCCTGCTCCATGAACTGTCCTGCCCCTCCCCCCTGCCTCCTTACTGGACTTTTCTGTCTCTGCCATGGACTTTCCAGTTTCCCTGTCCTTCCCCTCCATGGACTGTCCTGTACCTTCTCCCTGCCCTCTTCATGGACTGTCCTGTTTCTCTGCCCAGCAGAGTCCTTGGACTGTTCTGTCCCACTGTTCTGCTCCACCTCACTCTTCTCTCCCTTCCCCCTGACCCATCATGACAGTCCTATTTCTCTGTCCCTCCATGGACGGTCCTTTTCTTCACCCTGACCCCCTGATGGACTGTCCAGTTTCCCTTCCTTGCCCCACCATGAACTGTCCTGTTTCTTCTCCCTGCCCCTTCCATATGCTGTTCAGTTTCCATGCCCTGCCCTTCATGGATGGTCCTGTCCCTCTGTCTATCCCCCTCCATGACTGTCCATTCCCTATGACCTGCCCATCCGTGGACGGTCCTGTCCCTTGGCCCTGCCCCACTGTGGACAGTCTTGTCTCTCCACCCTGCCCCTTCCATGGACTGTCCAGTTTCCCTCTCCTGCCCCTCCAAGGACTATCATGTCACTCTGCCCTGCCCCTCCAGGACTGTCCTGTCATTCTCTCTGCCCCCTCCATGGACTGTCCTGTTTCCCTGCCCTGCTGCCTCCACAGACTGTTCTGTCACACTACCCTGTCCCTACCACAGACTGTCTTGTCCCTTCTCCTGACCCTCCCACAATGGTCCTGTTTCTCTGCCCAGCACCCTCCATGGACGGTCCTGTCCCTTCTCCCTGACAGCTTCTTGTACTGTCCCATTTCCCTGCCCTGCCATTATGTGGACTGTCTTGTCCTTATACCTTGCCCCATCCATGGACTATCCAGTCCCTTCACCCTGCCCCTTCCATGGATAGTCCATTTCTGTGCCCCAGCCCTTTATAAATGGTCCTGACACTCCATCCTGCCCCTCCATGGACGGTCCTGTTCCCCCACCCTGTCCCCCACATACTGTTCTTTCCCTTGGGACTGCCCCCTCCGTGGGCTGTGCTGTCCCTATTCTCGGTACCCTCTATGGACGGTCCTTCTCTCCGCCCAGCCACCTTCATGGCCAGTCCTCTTCCTCTGCCCTTCTCCTCCGTGGACTGTCCTGTTTCTGTGCTCTGCCCCCTCCATGGACTGTCATTCTTCTTCTGCCCTGTGCTCTCCACTGACTGTGCTGTCTTTTTTCCCTCCCCCACTCATGACATTCCTGTCTCTCTGACCGGGCCCCTCCAGGGACGGTCCTGTGTCTCCGCCAGGTGCCCTGTTGCACTTTCCTCTCTCCCCGCCATTTCTCTCTATGGATGGTCCTTTCCCTGTGCTCAGCCCCATCCGTGGATGGTCCTGTCCCTTCTCCCTGCCCCTTTCATGGACTGTCCAGTTTTCTGCCCAGTTCCTCCTCAGACGGTCTTGTCCCTGTGCCCTGCTTCCTCCATGGTCTGTCCTTTTCCTCCATCCTGCCCCCTCAGTGGAAGGTCCTGTACCTCTGCCCCCCACCTCTGTGGATGGTGCAGTTTCCCTGCCGTGCTCCTCCTTGGACAGTTCTGTCCCTCTGCCCTGGCTCCTCCATGGACTGTGCTGGCCCTCTGCTTGACTCCCTCCATGGACTGTCCAGTTTCCCTGCCCTGTCTCCTCCATGGACTGTCCTGTCCCTTCTCTCCTCCCCCTCTACAATGGTCCGTCCCTCTGCCCAATACCCTACAAGGACTGTCCAGTTTTTCTGTCCTGTCTCCTCCATTGATTATCCTGTCCCTTCTCACTGCCTTCTCAATGGACTGTCCAACTTTTCT